AGTCCAGAGGCAGCGATGCAATTTCCGGAAAGTTAGATAATTTAACAGGCGGCCAAAAAGATTTCGGGTAACAAAGTAGGTGTTCCAGAAATTATGAAAATAGCAGTAATGAATTGTCATAATGTTGTTCTTTCGGAATTTTAAGCGCTGAAGTGTCGAGATCTAGTACCATCACGATTTAGTTCTTCGGAATTTAAAAAACTTTGTGATCAAAAATTTGCCTGCAAATCTGTTAAAGAGATCATTTCTCCAAGGTAAAAGAAAAAATTAAATAGTTTAATATCATTAAAATTTGGCAAAGAACTACCTGGTGGCCTTTTACACGCTTGATCTAGATACGAGAACTAATTCTGATTAGAAAAATTGTACTAGCAAAAAGGTCGGCATGGTCAACCGGCCCGAGTTTTTTTTAGGATCGCCCCGGCCAATTATTTTTTTATCGGTCCGTATCATTAATATTTACACATTAGTAGTCAAGTTTTAGGGTATTTCATAAATTCATCATCATTGCGTAGTCTCGACCATTCCTTTATTCATTGCGATGATGATGAACTCACTTAATTGAGTTTAAATGCTAAAATATTTTACAATTTTATAGCGCTAGTTTTAAATTTATAATTATCAAACAAATTATTCATACCGGTAATTAGACTTTATTATACAAGTTAATAAGTTTGCACGCAAGCGAATAGACCGATGTTAACATGTTAAAATATAAAATAGAATTTAGAATTGATTCACGATTTTGATTTTGACCTTTAATTGTCACGGCTGATGCTGAAATATGAGGTCACGATTTAAAAATATAAGCCCTACTAAAATTCATATATACTCTTTAATTATCAATACTAACCCTAAATCTAACTCAACCCTAAAAAAAAAAAATGCGGAAAACACCCTAAAAATTTTTTAAAACTTATATCAAAATAGGTCCAAATTTCAGCATCAGCCAATTTCAGCATCAGCCGTGGCATTAATTCATCAGCCCGGTAAAACATTCGATATCAATATTTTAAAATCCAGAAGCAACTTAAGTCGGAACACTTGCCAAGGATAACGTAGGATATTAGAATAATCTCTATCAACCTCAACAGCATGATCAAAGTACGCATTGCATAGGACAAACAACAGCACAAGCAAGGTATGGGCAATAGCGATAGCTAAAGATGATATTCATGTATTCATGTACGTAATACAAAAATGAAAAAACTTGATTAGAGTGTTAAAATCCATTGGCTGATTTGGTAAACGTCCTATATGAAAATACAATTAGTTATAAGAAATTTGACAGAAGCAAGTAACGTTGGAGAACAAAATTTCTTTAAAGTTTTGTTAACTGTTTATTATGCAAATTTGTCACTTTCAAATAATAAGTAATAATAAACAGCTAACGAAATTTTAAAGAAATTTTTCTCCGGCGTTACTTCTGGCAAATTTAACCTGGTATAATCAGATTGGTGAGATTTCACAGTGTTACCATCGGTTGGGAGAGCGATTGCGGAGGTTAATCCAATTTAGCTCCGATGGTTAACTTGGTTCTGGATTTATAATACTTGTACACGTGATATGATGTCACGAAACTCTTAAATTTGTTGGGGTTATCACTTAACAGTATATCAACTTTAATTATTCGGGGGGGGGGGGGGAATTTATTATGTACAATAAGAAATGCAAGACAACAATAATAAAATGCAATATATAAAAGAATATAACTATACTAATAAACTAATACTACATCACGAAGTTGTTTTTATGTAGAGTTATGCAAATATTTTATATATGTTTTATTTAAAAATTATACATAGGTCTATAAACCCAATGTAGACTTACATAGTTATAATTTATACATAAATATAAATATAAATAATATTTATTTAATAGTTATCTAAAATTTAGCAAATGTAATGATATGTTTAGTAGTCAAATAAATAAATTTGTAGGATAAAAATAAAAAGTTATAATTAGAGTTAGAATTAGGGTTGGGATTAGGGTAAAATTACGAGAGGAACATTTTTTATTAGTAACACAATAGGGGTTACCTTAGCAAAATTTCGAAAAAATTTATTTGTTTTTTAATATATAAAGTTTATATAATTGTATATATATATAAATTATTAATATATAAAATTTTTATCTAAATTTTACGATATATAAAACTTATATAAAATTTTTATTTAAATTTTACGGTATATAAAAATTATATAATTATAATATATAAAATTTATTAATATATAAAGTTTATATAAAAATATTTTTTAGATATTATGGCATATAAAAGTTACTTAATTCTAATACATAAAATTTATACACATACAGTATAGATTTATATAATTTTTTTTATAAAATTATATTATGAAGTAAACCTATGTAGATTTTATAAAAAAACAATTTTGTGATGTAGTCTGAGGAAACTTAACTAAGGCGAAAACTCATGCTTTAAATACCTTTTAATTTACTAGGAGCTACTGCGTATTCTCTTCACTACTCTATGCGTGCGCAAGGCTGCAAAATGGCTTGTACGAGCCTCGCGACAGTAATGTCTCGTGAAAAGCATCATTTACCTTACATATCTCCCACAAGACATCGTTATTACCTCTCTTGTCATACGTATCAACAAGATAGCGATGTCTTATTTATACAAACATTTATGACTAATTACAAGTTTCCTTTTATTGTCATCTGATGCCCATCGTGTGTTAAATAAACAAACATTATTAAGCCTCTATTCGCCACCTAGGAGCCTCATAATATTCTTGTGGCTGTCATTCGGGCGTTTTAATCAGCCAATAAAAATTCAGGATCAACTGATCAGATGAATGACTTGCATATAAAACTTGTGCAAGTCAGCATTTTTTTTAGTCAACATAATGTCGAGATAGTGATAATTTTAAATGATTATTAATTACGTTTATTACGTTTTATATACTGTCCAAAACTAAGAACTTGTTGAGTGGTTTCAGACTCGCCCTCTTATTCGATCTTTATTCGATCTTTATCTTTATTCGACCCTTATAATAAGTGACGTATTGAGCAATCTTACAGTTTCAGAGGTTTCAGAATATAAATATATCAATTAGTACACGCATAAAATCGCTAGTTTTTGAATCTAACCTACCGTCATTAGAACCAGTTTCAAAAATATTTATATCGCCTCCATATAACACTAAATAGGATTAAGATTTGAAACCATATTAATATCACATGCTCCAAAGAAAAAATATCCTGACCTAAAATTGAAGTGCGAATGTCCGGTTCTAATCTCACGAAAAAAGAATTACCAAATAAAGCTTATAAAATACGCGTTTTATAAAAGATATAGTATATTAATATTTTTACATTCATTTGTTTAATCTTTTATCGACAATTTCCATCAAAAAAATATTTTAGAAAAATTTAAATCCAAAATGAAAAATAACAAATATTTCATATAATATCTTTACAATTAAATGAATCAAATTTTTCAAGAAAAAATATACACTATTCAATATGATCTGTTTGAATTACAATTAATTGTGTTATAAAATAGCTAAACAAGAATCTGCTAGAACTCTTTCTCTGTTAAAATCATAATCAATAATCAAAGTAATATCATAAAATCTTTCTCTAACACCATAAATCTTATGATTTAATTCCCAACTAACTTCAGGCATTGAATGAGTCAAATAATTTCCGATTTTTTCACCAAATTGGTCCAACAGAAAATAACCCATTGCACCATGATGTTGCATTAATTTCCATGTTGATCTAGTTAGAGTATCATTTTTTGGTCTGATGACTACAGAGGTCATGCCACCTATATAACTTTCTTGAGCAAATGTAATGGTTACAGTAGATTTAAAACCTCTAAAATGGTGTTTCAACATTGTACTAGCAGTATTAATAACTATTGTTTCAAGAGTTTTGACAAAACTGTCAAGTTTATCGGCAACTAATCTACGAATTGGTGATATACTATGTAATGATACTATTGGAGCATTTATAATTGAATTACGTGGAACTTGAAAATAATCACATTCATCTTCTAAATCTTGTCGAGTTATAATCGGATCTAGACCTTTAAAATTTTATTGATTGTATTACTTTTATTCTGAAAATTTTCAAATAAATGCATAATCGAATTTATAAAATTCAATATTTTATTAGCATACCTGATCCCGGAAAAATTATTTTGTTTTTACGATAAAATTGTAATATATAACGAAATAAATTACCATCACGATCAATAAAATATTCATTTCCATTGATCGGTTTTAGTAATGCTTTGTTCCTCTCTTGAAACATAGTTCCGAGTAGTGTAGTCGGATAAGCCAATAAAGTTGAAACATAAGTTTCATACTTAACAATTAATAAATATCGTTAAATTTTTTAAAAGTTTTTTTTCAGAATAATAATATCAACTTTTTTTTTACCTTAATCCCACCAACATTTAGAATTATACGCTCCCCATAAGATTCCCCATTCACAGTATCTTTTGTTAAAGTTTGTAGAGTTTCCATGAGTGAATGTGTATAGACATGTTCGTGCGTGCGTACCTTGTTTTTTTTCACTTTATATTTACATATCGTTAGTGAAATTGGTGATATCGATATCGATATGCAGTCAACAAATAAAGAAAATCCTATTAAAATTTAGAAATGGTAACACGCACATTGCTTATATTGCAAAAGTTATGTTCTTGATAATACGAATTATTTGAAGAGATTCTAACGTATAGGTTAAATAATTACTTATAAGTTCTAATCCTACATGTGAAAGGTGAGATACAGTGTTTAATTTTTCTCACAAGACTCAAAATTTTAAATTAAATCAAATTCTGCATGAAGATTGTACAATAATAAATGTTATGCCTAATGACCAACGCCTCGAGATTCTTTGCAATTTTAAATTCTTCCTACAGAACAGTTATATTCTTCGGCAAAATTTTAATTTGAATCTTTTGGAATTACCAATTAATTATTCATTAATTAAAATAATTGCAATAAAAAATTTTTTTTTGATTATTCTCGGGCATGGTTCATCATGTGACGCCAATTAGGCGTATTTTATTATTTATTATCGTTATGAAATATGATTTATAATATATAGCTTAAATCTTATGACCAGAAATTGTGAATACTTTTTTCTCAACACCAAAATATTCGACTCTTAATCAGTGGATTATTGTACGTATAAGTACAGTACATCAGAAAAGTAATATTTAATGACATTAAAATGTAAATTTTGTCCTCTCCTCATTGCTTGGCAAACTTGTATGCATGACATAAATTTCTAAAATAGTGAAGTGCAAGACCAAAATTTAGTACATATTAGTCAGTGTAACGAAAATCGCCAAGAATTTCGAATATGGTGCGGGGCATAAGACATCACGAATGTTGCAGATCATTACTTATAAAAATGATGAAATTTTTAAAATATTACGTACCGTACTAGATGGGTGCCGAAATTCAAAAAAGAAATTGTAACAATGTCACTTGATTATTATTAATTGTTTTAATTTCCTTTTTTCGGCACCCATCTATACCATACGTACTAGTAGAATCAATAAAGTACAGCAGCGCTGAAGATATTTTTAATCGAGATATAATTCTGTAGCAAACTGGAAACAAGAAATTTTGTTGTAGAGCATCCAAATGATAACGAGCTGCTCGCGTATATTCCATTTGAAAATCGTAATCATAAAAAACGATTAAATACTATTTATTTTATAATGTAGTATTCGAAATTTTTATGTGACAATTTACCCCAGTCGAGTAACTCGCGAAGAAAAAAAGGATGCAGTCAGACCTCTCTAAGTGCACGACTTGGGATCACACTTTAATAATGTGCATTTAGAGAATAATGAGAAAAGGTGCATTTATAGAGGTCAAGTATATACTGTATTTAGACCAGCACTTGAGCGCGCATTTAGAGTCATAGAGGGTGCACTTAGAGAGGTCTGGCCGTATCTAGGGTTCCATTCTTGCTAACCGAAGTGATAAATGCACTTGATCAGTTAAATAATCTTTCTCTAATTAATTTTTTTCTTTCCGATTCATTCAACTATGTAACTTCGTGACCCGTTTTGTACTACCGTAAAGTCGCGAAATAAAGCTCATGCGCGTTATTTTGGAAATTGTGCCCTTTAAAAACCATCACATTTTTGGCTCAAAATAACGCCTATGCGCGTCCCGAAATAACACTCACCTTGTATTAAACGTATGTTAGTGGACTTCAGTGTCTGAAATTCAATTTATAATTTAGTTGTGGGCCCGCAACTAAATAAAAAATCTACTTGCGGATTATATGAGTTTAGTTGCGCATATCTATATGCAAATTTCACAAAATATGCATTTCAGATTTTAGTTGCGGAAACTTATAAATTATTTGCGGTCCGCAAGCTCTGCAACTCAATTTCAGACACTAGTGGACTTGATATATGTACATTAGGCTTAAATTTTGACCCTTTACTTCAAAATAACGTGCAGGGGCGCATTATTCGCGACCATACGGTAATTAAAATCACTCCCCGATCCATTTCAACTGATTGATTAAAACGATTGAGACTCCTTTAAAGTAGATATCAGCTGTACTATGTTTCATCCCCGTAGAGAACCGAACAGAAATTTTAGCATCCTACAATTTTTGAATGCTTTTACATCTTGAGCTAGTCTCATTGATCAAAAAAGAATGAGATACGTATGCACAAAAAAATAAATATAAAAAATTTTTACAGTTTAAATATTTTCATTAAATACAAAAAGAAATATAAAATTTACAGTCTATACGATTTGGAATCGTTTAAAATAAGAAAATACACCTAATACTTGAGTGCAATAAAATATTATTCCATGATCTCAACGTCTTCTCGCATAACGACTAAAAATCTCCCAGCACCTTCACCAAAACTAATAGTTTTCAATCCTCCTAGCAATTCAGCTTGACGATGCAATTGCTTCCTCTGATATCCACTTAAATCACTAGGAAACTTCAATACCCTTTCATTGCTTCCATAGAACCTTTTTAACATTTTAATCATAACATTGGTCAACACATCGTGTGGTAATCCTTCAAAAGATGCTCCATTATTAAAGTGCGTCGGTGTAACATGTGCCGTTAGAATTTTTTTATTATATTCCTCTTCACCTTTTCCAATATTCGGTCTTTTAGGCTTACTTTGATTACGTACTTCATGTGAAAATTTCCATGAGCCGCTAGTTTGAGAATTTTCTGTTTCATGATGTTTTTGTTTGGAGAATCTTGGTTGTGGACTATTTTTGGAAACACCACAAGTTTTCGTACTTTGCTGATGTTGTTTTGGTTGACGAGAGGCTTTATTTTCCTTTGGTATTAATGAGCTATCTTGGTCAGAAGTTGACTTCTCTTGACGTCTTCTCTTCCATTCTCGATTTTCTGCATGACTATTATATAAAAAAAATTTATGTTAATAATAAATTTTATTTATGTATGTTTTATAATTATTATTTGTACCTAAATGGAAACATCTTTCCAGTGACTGCCCAACATTTAGCCAACTCTCTTTTCAAAACTTTCTTTTCATTTTCAACCTTCAATTCCCATTCAATATAAGCTTTAGCTCTAGCTTTTCCTCTACGTCCAACTTCACGTCTAAATGCTTCTTGGTTAGTAGAAAGATCTAACTTTTCATTATACCCATCCCATTCAAGTATATCATCAGTCCATTTAGATGGACCACTTTCACTATATACGACTTTATCAACATATTTATGCATCTTGAAAATAATTTCTTTAATATCTGTTTTTTGATTTTCTTTATCATCATTTTTTTCTTTTCTCATACATTCTTTTGTTAATTCAAATAATTTATTCAATGGTTCACATTTAACCATTTGTGTCATTAATGGTTCTTTTAAAATTTCTCTTAATATTGAACATGTTAAAATTAAACTTTTTAAAGTTTGAATATCATTAACGTAAGAAACTATTTGTGTCCAAATTTCAATAGGAAATATTGTTAAAGCAGGTAAAGGAGTTTTTTGAATTAATGGTCGTAAAAAATCGGTATCTGAATAATCAATTTTATCAAAATCAATTTCATCAAGGTTAATATTATCATAATCAATTTCTTGAGACATTTTTTGAACAGTTTCTTTTTGTTGTGGGAAAAATTGGTTTAGAAGTTAAATTGGTTCCCGCGATATGTATGTATGTACGTATGTACGTACGTATGTATGCATGTATGTGTGAACATTAAAAATTGTTGACCAATATGGTTTATATAATCGATCACCTGCTTGCTTGTTACACGAGTGTATTACGAATTTTTTTTTTTTTCATATAAAACGATAAATAATGATAACGATAATTAATAATTTAATCATCTAATCTTGGCATTAGGTGAAAAAAAATGGAATATTCAGAAGATGAAAGTGATCAAAATGATTACTTGGAAGATCATGAAAGCGATGATGATCAAATGCAAGATGTTCAACTCAATACTTCTAATAATTTGACAAATGTAGGAAACGAAAATGACGAAAGTGTGCATAAAGGGGATGCGCATAAAGGAGATGAAAAACTAGAAAATTTTTCTTCAATTTATAAACCACCTACAAATGAAGAAATTCAAGGATTAAAAGAGACAACAGACTTGTACAAATCTAATCTATTTAAACTTCAAGTAATGTATTATTTATTTTATTTTATTATTACAATATCAGAGGGAAATATTAAAATTTCATTTTTTTTTAGATCGATGAACTTTTATCAGAAGTTAGTATCGATTTTTCTAAAACCACAAGTTTAGAAAATATATTACATAAATTAAAAGAAATATTCGAAAATATTAATGACCAACCTGACCTTTCGGTAAGTCATATTACTTTTATTCTAATTATGAAAATTAAAAATAACTTGGCATGTATTCTGAATTTTTATAGATCATAGATGCAAAATCTATGCTATTGAAAAAGCATGATATAACCATTCCATTTCCCGACCCACAACCTTCCGATGATGTAAAATACAAATTTGGATTTAAAAAACCGTCAGCATTTTATTTGGTTGGTAGTTATCCGTTAAAGAGTGTTATACGCAGCCGAAATGGGTTTAATGTGGATGTAGTGGTCATTATGCCAAAGGTGATGTATCTTACTCGAATTTAAAAAAAGATACTACTATTTCCGTACATGCATTTAATAATATGTGTCTTATTCTTTCGGAACAATCAATTAGTCTATATTTCAAGAAAAAGATTATATGAATTACCGTTATTTTTATAAGCGCGCATATTATCTTGCAGTATTATCTGCTACTTTACAAGACAAGGGTTTGGCATTGAATGTCAGCGTAGAATTTGGCGCATTTTTTGGGGATAGGCGTCGTCCTATAATACTACTTAAACCACTTAAAAGTAAGATAAAAAAAAACATAACTTTGCTTAACAGTATTTGACATTATTTTAATAAGTGTTATAAATACAATACAGATAATTCTGATCCAGACTTTTCTGCTCTTAATTTTACCATCCGAATATTACCTTGTATTCCAATGGATCTATTTTCAACTCAACGTCTCTCACCATCCCGAAATAATATTCGCCCCCAAAATTTTCAGGATTTAAGTCAAATTCCTCAACAACAACAATCCGTAGACTCACTTCCACCAACACCGCAATACAATTCCGCTATATTAAGAGACATGTATTGTGTTTCTCATCTAAACTTGTTATATAAAAATTCAAAAGATTGTCCTGCATTTAACGATGCATGTAAGCTTGCAAAAGTGTGGCTTCATCAAAGAGGCATAAGCGGTGATGAAGATGGGTGGAGTGGGTTCAACGGATTTGTATGGAAGATGCTTATGTGTTATTTATTACATGACGGCGGTGTAAACGGAGGAAAGAAATTAGCTAATGGATATAGCTCTTATCAGTTGGTTAAGGGAACTATGGATTTCTTAGGTGAGTGGATAATCTTATTATATAGGGTTTCCCCGGCTCATTGAATTTATACTTATATTATTGTTATTTGCTATTCACTAATTGTTTATAGCAAATCATGATTTTATCCGAAACCCCTTATTTATGAATAAATTGGATGAATCTGAAGAAGTATATTTTCTGCTTCAAATCATTTAAAATTTCTTTTCATCTGAATTGTTGCTTATTAATCAAAATTATATAGTTTTCTGAAAAATCATTTACAGAAAACTTTGACGTTGTATTTGTTGATAATTCCGGAAAATTAAATTTGCTATGCGGAATGACAAAAACTGCCCTTGAACAAGTAAATTATATTCAGCATTTTCAATAATTATTACGACTGGTTTGAGCTAATATATAAGAATTCCTTATGCAATCTATATGGACTCTTCATCTTTTGATGTCTGCAGATACAACATGAAGCCAGGATTGCAATGGAATATTTTAATGAAAATAAAAC